GCTTTAGATTTGGAAGAGAGCCGTATCGTTGGAAAGGCAAGGCGTATCCTCATTGGCGATGAGGGGTACCCATCTCCCCTTCCTCCCAGGCTCGTCGTTTCCGATCACGACTTCTACAGCGAGGAAGAAGAATGGGCCGAGAATGAGGACAATGACTTTACACTGTCGTATTTGGACAGCATGGAGTCCAGGCGTTCTGGAGAGTTCGAAGACACGGAAAGAGCCAGGAAACAGAATGTTTTCGAAGAGGGCGTGGAACAGGGAAAGAGAGAGAGACATATAATGCAACGGGGAAACGAGAACAGGAAGGAGCTCAAGAGCTTGAGGCAGAAATTTACAAGGAAGTCCAAATGACAGCTTTGCAAGTGAGATCGGTATGTGTTCATATTACTAACACGAGCCTGAGATTGATTATTTGCAACCGTAATAGTCGTTGACAATGGACACATTTCCCTCAGTTCCCACGAGAGCATTATTTATCATTCTTCAATATTTCAATATTTTCGCGACTGCCAGTCAGCATGCACTGCGCTAGAGAGCAGAGCATATTGCCAAGCAGTTATGATGGTAGCTTTATGGTATTTATCAACAAGAAGTAAACCTTTGTTTAACATGAGTAGCTGAATGAAAGGGATGGTCTTTGACTCTTCTCTGCGCTCCAATCGCCACTAGGTCACCTTCATGTTATTCACCAGGCTCACAGCGCAGCATTAGATATTCAGCATCTACCTTGTTGAATGCCGTCTGCGACTGACAAGTCTCTAGAAGCAACTTCAAAGATAAAGGAAAGAATAAAGTTATAAAACTGATTGCAGAGCGGCCTAACAGTACAATGGACTCGGAGGATATCGTCTCCCAACCTATACCAATCATACCAAAACTCTCTACAGGAAGTAAATCCAGTGAACACCCATGAATCGAGGAGAGAGGAGAGATATGAGAACAAGGAGAAAGAAACCTGCAAACCTTCAAAAAGGTTTAACGGTCACGTGCCAATTACCTTGTGGCTGCTTGTTTTTTTTGGCTTTCTGACCGTAAGTACTGACAAAAGGTAACGTTTGTTCTCCTCCTCTGTGCTTAGCTCATAGCAAACAGGTTAGCGCTCCCAA